CCTCCCCATCCCCCGTCACAGCATTACCCCCCTCCATCACCTGTCACAGCATTACCCCTCTCCATCACCTGACACAGCATTACCCCTCTCCATCACCTGTCACAGCATTACCCCTCTCCATCACCTGTCACAGCATTACCCCTCTCCATCACCTGTCACAGCATTACCCCTCTCCATCACCTGTCACAGCATTACCCCTCTCCATCACCTGTCACAGCATTACCCCTCTCCATCACCTGTCACAGCATTACCCCTCTCCATCACCTGTCACAGCATTACCCCTCTCCATCACCTGTCACAGCATTACCCCTCTCCATCACCTGTCACAGCATTACCCCTCTCCATCACCTGTCACAGCATTACCCCTCTCCATCACCTGTCACAGCATTACCCCTCTCCATCACCTGTCACAGCATTACCCCTCTCCATCACCTGTCACAGCATTACCCCTCTCCATCACCTGTCACAGCATTACCCCTCTCCATCACCTGTCACAGCATTACCCCTCTCCATCACCTGTCACAGCATTACCCCTCTCCATCACCTGTCACAGCATTACCCCTCTCCATCACCTGTCACAGCATTACCCCTCTCCATCACCTGTCACAGCATTACCCCTCTCCATCACCTGTCACAGCATTACCCCTCTCCATCACCTGTCACAGCATTACCCCTCTCCATCACCTGTCACAGCATTACCCCTCTCCATCACCTGTCACAGCATTACCCCTCTCCATCACCTGTCACAGCATTACCCCTCTCCATCACCTGTCACAGCATTACCCCTCTCCATCACCTGTCACAGCATTACCCCTCTCCATCACCTGTCACAGCATTACCCCTCTCCATCACCTGACACAGCATTACCCCTCTCCATCACCTGTCACAGCATTACCCCTCTCCATCACCTGTCACAGCATTACCCCTCTCCATCACCTGTCACAGCATTACCCCTCTCCGTTACCTGTCACAGCATTACCCCTCCCCTCTCTGTTACCTGTCACAACATTACCCTTTCCCTCTCCGTCACCTGTCACAGCATTACCCCTCCCCTCTCCATCACCTGCCACAACATTATCCCTATCCGTTACCTGTCACAGCATTACCCCTCTCCATCACCTGTCACAGCATTACTCCTCTCCATCACCTGTCACAGCATTACCCCTCTCCATCACCTGTCACAGCATTATCCCTCTCCATCACCTGTCACAGCATTACCCCTCTCCATCACCTGTCACAGCATTATCCCTCTCCATCACCTGTCACAGCATTACCCCTCTCCATCACCTGTCACAGCATTACCTCTCTCCATCACCTGTCACAGCATTACCCCTCCACTCTCCATTCCTGTTATCACATTACCCCTACTCTCTCCACTTGTCACAGCATTACCCCTCCCCTCTCCATCACCACCTGACACAGCATTACCCCTTCCCTCTACATCAATTTAGTAATAAAGCTGGGTGCCAGACTCCACCCTCTTGTAGTAAAGCTGGGTTTCAAGCTCCTCCCTCTAGTATTAAAGCGTGGTGTCAGGCTCCTCCCTCTTGTATTAAAGCTGGGTGCCAGACTCCACCCTCTTGTAGTAAAGCTGGGTTTCAAGCTCCTCCCTCTAGTATTAAAGCGTGGTGTCAGGCTCCTCCCTCTTGTATTAAAGCTGGGTGCCAGACTCCACCCTCTTGTAGTAAAGCTGGGTGTCAGACTCCTCCCTCTAGTATTAAAGCTGGGTGTCAGGCTCCTCCCTCTAGTATTGAAGATGGATGGCAGACTCCTCCCTCTTGTATTACAGCTGGGTGTCTGTAACTATGGCCGGCCACACGTGATACTGTGCACGCATCTTAAACGTATGCGCTGACGGCAACACACAGGATGTGACAATCTTTCCTTGATGGATGGGCCTATATAATCCAGTCTGCCTCACAGACCATTATTGAATGGTCCTTCAGCTTATCCATCTGATCCTGTTACTCTGCCCGTCTGCTTGCTTCTTGTGTATTGAACTCTGACCTTGACTGATTGCTGCCTGCTCCTGACCTCCGCTTGTTCCTGGATTCTGACTTTTGCTTCTGTAGTTCGCTGCCGGCTCGGTGTGACCTTGAACCGGTCTGATCTGCTCCTGGATCCTGCATCTGGACTATCACCAGGCACAGTGTCTGCACAACTCTTGGCACTCGTGCAACTCTTCTGTCCTCTCACTCCCTGTCTTCACTCTCGGGTGCGGGGCAAAAGGCACAAGGGAGGCCTCCTTAGCTATTCGGTGTTCTACAAGGGACACGATAGCGTCAGGCTCCTCCCTCTGGTATTAAAGATGGGTGTTAGGCTCCTCCCCCTAATATTAAAGATGGGTGTCAGGCTCACACTCTAGTGTAAAAACTGGGTGTCAGGCTCCTCCCTCTAATATTAAAGCTGGGTGTTAGGCTCCTCCCTCTAATATTTAAAGCAGTGTGTCAGGCTCCTCCCTCTAATATTTAAAGCTGGGTGTCAGGCTCCTCCCTCTAGTATTTAAAGAGCTACTCCGGGCAAAATAAACCTTAACCCTTGCAGTGGGACTGCCCTGGCACTGCAGTGGGACTACCCAGGCACTGCAAGGGTTAAGAGCTAGTGGTCTAAGGCTCAGAGCTGGCTGGCTACTAGACTGGTCCCCACAGCCTCTATTCCCCTCCGCGCCGGAGGTCTAAAGATCCGTGAGTCATCACATCTAAAAGCGTATTGGATGTGAGAAGGACAAGGGACATACCATTGCTGGAGTGGAGAGGGAGAGAGGCTGCACATGACTGTCACTGCCCATAGTGATTGTGTCAGTATGGAAGAAATATTTCTCTTAAAGGAGACAGTGCAGTGTTAATTATGATAAAAGTTTATAGAATGGAAAAACCTTTTTTTGTTTTGTTATTGTCCATTTGTCGGGCTATAATAAGAAATCTGTGGGCGGGATTTATGAAAACACGGTGACAAATAACCTTTTATTTATGTATTTTTTACAGGTATTTATATAGCGCTGACAATTTACGCAGCACATTCACATCAGTCCCTACCCTCAAGGAACTTACAATCTAAGGTCCCTATCTCACATACATACATAGCGGGTCACCTTAGAGAGGAACCAATTAACCTACCAGCATGTCTTTAGCGTGTGTGAGGAGACCAAAGTACTTGGAGGAAACCCCACACAAGCACAGGGAGAACATGCAAACTCCTTCCAGATAGTGACCTGGCCGGGATTTATCAATATATGTGGATATCAATTGTCCTCCATACTATTCCTAGTTCGGCTTCTTGACCTGTCTCGCGGTCACTCATTTCCAAGTGGTCCGCCCGTGGGTCATGGAGGGGTTAAGGGTTGTAGTCAGCAGTGGGTGGTTGGGTCATAGGACGGCTGTGCCTTACCCTGTCAAGAAATTAGATGTCTTGTCATTTTCAAAACAGCCACAAGGTGCCGCCAGTGAGCTGATGTTGTGTTTGTC